AACCCTCTTAGTCTCTTTTCCTTGCGGATTTGGACTTGTCCTTTGTGCCCCTTCCACGGCCCCCTGTCCTTCCGCCCTTGGACGGAGGCTCAAGCGTGGAGAATTTCGGGGACTGGATAAAATTGCTATAAACAGTCAGAAAAGGTTTCAACTTCGGATCATTCTTGGGCACATTCATCTGTGCCAGGACACTGAGGCCCTCGTTCAGGTATATACGGGCACTCTTTTGAGTGTGCCATCGTCCTTGTAAGAGGATACGATCTAAATTGTGATGTTTCTGGAACCAATATGTGGCCCCACCCCTCCTAAGGGAGTAGGGCCTGAAGCCCAAATGCTCTATGCCGAGGCCGGCCAAACAGGAGTTGAAAAGGGCACGCCATTTGGCTGGTGCCGGGGTCAGACGGGTACTCGCAGAGGCCACCTTCTTCCAGGTGCGCAAAAACCTGACCACAGGTTCCAATCCGAGGACAACGCTCTCAGCGGCGCCGTGTCGCTTACCTCCCTTGGTGAGACCCAAGGAGATAAGAGCTTGTAGCTGTCCCTCAGTGCATTGAAAATGGGAGGAGGCTAAACCCAGGATTTCCCCAGTCCTCAACATCGAGTAAAATCCAATTAAAAGTGACAAAGCGAACGAGACCCAGCCATGGAAAAGGCTCCATCCGGCCATGGCGAGTACTATATGCTCAGGCAGCGGCGGCGCACGAGAGGGGATCTCGTTAGCCTGCCAAGTACGCAGGAGCCGCCACGCTCCCGGCAGGTTATTCCGCAACCCAGGTTGTGAGTCCTGCAAGGCTGCGAGGGTATCGCAGGCCTGCGCACGGCCCTTGCCTTCGAACCATAGCGTCTCCAAGTAGTCACAAACAATTGGGTCCAACTGTCTCTTGTCCTTAGGCAAGTCCAGTCCTTCAGCAGTCAAAAAAGAGAAAAACCCTTGCAGAGCTTTATCATATCGCTTCCTAGTGCTTGGCTGCACCGTAAGTTGCCGCAATGTGCCCAACCGCCGACGTATCTTCCCGCGCTCTTCTGCTGTAGCTGCTTCAAGGTGCCTCTTAGGCATTCCGGTATTTAGTGCGCACCCGCCCACCCCAACGACTGGGTTTATCGGCGGGGTTACTATCCGTGGCCACATAGGCCCAGATGACTTGAGCATTGCTACAGAGCAGAAGCGCGTTAATGCGGGAGATAGTCGCACGCAACTTGCGAGAACTGGTTCGTCCTCTCGTGAGCGCATGGAGGCAGACCAAGCTATCCGTGAGATGCAACATGCGGCAGCCAAGATGCCCTTGCTGTTCAATGCGCCAGCGGACTGCGTTGAGGATGGCTCTCATCTCCAGGGAATTTATGTGTTCCTTGCCACGGGTCCACCGCCACCCAGATACAACCTTCCAACGCCAGAGGCGAGCCGGAACTGAGGCCCTCAAACGATGAAATCGGGTCATCTGAGTAGTAGGCGTGGTCAGTAGGATGTCCTCCCCCTTGAGGCTGATCAAGTTTGCCAGCTTCCATGCCAGAGCTCCCTGCATACCAAAACTTCCCCTTGCGTGCGACAGAGGCAAGCGAATCAGCCGCTCCTGAAGGGATGCTGCTGCCCCCGGCTCACAGAGGTCCACGATGTCCTGGGGCGAC